ACCTAACCCTCCGGAAACTACATCGCTGTCTTCAGACCTTCAGTCCGGAGGCAGTGATGTAATTTCCGGAGAGTTAGTAATTTGCCGAACGACCGAAAAGATTTCGGGTAATGAACAGGTGTTCCAGAAATTATGAAAATAGATTTAACAAATCGGTTTTGTACCCGAGTAAGGCTTTTTAGACGGGCGGGTGACCCGGAGAAGAAATTTATAACGGGTCGAATCTCTACTTCAACTTCTTTGGATGTTTTTGTTTTTGAAGAGCAATACGATTTCAACAAAATAATAATATTAGTAAAAGCCCTGGTTGAAAAACACAAAACTACTTTAGGATTAAGATTAAACAATTTGACATCATTTATTCCTCGTCAGTATGACACTTCAGATCTTTCAAATAATCTAATAGAAGAGATAAAATTAGCAAATGCTGCTTCGACTTCCTTAGATATTTGTGAAAATAAAATATCTGGGTCTAACTTAGTAAAAGTGTTAAGAGATATTTTTAATGATTTATTTATTATTTTTTAATAATTACCGATTATTTAGATTACTAAAAGTGATTATTGGTTTTTTTTCTAGATACATTATATAATTTTAAAAGCAAAAAAAAAAAATTTAAAACTTTTCAAAAATTAATATTAATATATAATAAATTCTTTCAAAAAATAAATTATTTTTTTTTAAAAATAAAAAAAAATTTTAAAAGATTTTATTAAAAATAACCGGTGGTGATAATCGCCTCTTATTTTTAAGGCTATGGAGTAGTTAGGATAGGAATCATTAGGTCATTAATCGATTAATCATCGATTAGTTGACTAATCGATTAATCATCGATTAGTTGACTAATCGATTAATCATCGATTAGTTGACTAAATTTTTTTGTAATCAGTCGATCGACTAGTTGACTAATCGATTAAATTTTTTTGTAATCAGTCGATCGACTAGTTGACTAATCGACTAATCGACTGATCAACTAATTAATCAAGGTTAATATGCAAATTTAATTGACTATATAGTCAAATAATCGATTAGTCGAGTCGACTGACTAATCACTAAAAATTTCTGACTGATTCCAACCCCTATTGGGATATATATGAGGATTATGTATGTCGTACGTCGGAACGAAATTATTGTAGATTTAGAATCTACTTAGGTTGGAATGGAATTCCAAATGTAGTCCAAG